TCCAGGTCTATACCAGAAGATCCTGCTTAAAATAAATGTTTGACCTGGCACGGTAATTCAAGCCTTTAATCCAGAACTCAGGAGGCAGAGTTTGAGGCCAGCATGATTTACATAGTGAGTTCCAGGACAACCATAGTGAGACTTCATAGTCTTCACAGTGAGACCCTGTCTCAAAAAAACCAAAAAGAAAATATGTATGTGGGGCTAGGGAGATGGCTCATCAGTTAAGAGCACTTGTTACTTTTCCAGAGGACCAGAGTTCAGTTCCTAGCATCCACACGGTGGCTCACAATCATCTGCAACCCCAGTCAGGGAACCCACTGCCCTATGCATGTACAGACAAACATGCAGACAAAACATCTACACACAAAATTAAGAATAGGGGGAAAAAAAAAAAAGAGCTGGAGAGATGGCTGCGCCATTTTAGAGCACTTGTTGCTCTTGCAGAGGCCACCCACAACTCCAGTTCCAGGGACTCTGACGCCCTCTTCTGGCCTCCACAAACACCAGTCACGAATGTGGTGCATATACAGGAATGCAGGCAAACACACACACCCAGAAGAAGCTAAAAAATTAAAAATAATATAGATGATTAAAAATAAAAGCAAATTCTGGGCCAGCAGGAAGGCTCAGTGTGTAGAGCACTTGTACAAGCCTGACAACCCGAGTTCAAACCCTGGAACCCACTGTATAAGAAACCAACTCCAGAATGCTCTTCTGACACAAATGTGCAGCACCAACTCATCAGATGATTCTTTTGTTTGTTTGTTTGTTTTGTTTTTTCGAGATAGGGTTTTCCCGTGTATTCCTGGCCATCCTGGAATGTGCTCGCTAGACCAGGTTGGCCTCAAACTCAGAGATCTGCCTGCCTGTCTCCCAAGTGCTGGAATTAAAGGTGCATACCACCCCCGCCACGCGACCAAATGACTTTTGTTGGTGGGTCCTTACTTCCTGGACGATGGACTCAGGGTTGCTTTTGGCCGTGTTTTGTCACATCAATAAAACCCAATTAAGACACATTTCAAAGATGGCAGAATCAAGAGCAGGCAAAGAGCAAGGAGGCAGATTTTCAACACAGCAATGCCACACACCTTTACTACAGAAGCTACAGTGAACTCTGGGTTCCTTTAAAAGCCTGCTCACCATACTATTAAATGGCCTGGTAAGCTGGGTCTGAACTTAACAAGACGTAATAAAAAAAGCTCAGCTTCTATACAAACTACAGACTCCTTCCCAGGAGCTCAAAGCGTCTACCTAGCCTGTAACAATCTGCTGCTACCTGGGCAGGGCGGAGCAAAGTATCCCCACAATGCAACACATTTTGTTTTAGTTCTTTAAAAACTTATCTATTTATTTACTTTTCAAATTGTATTTATTTTATGTGCACTGATGATTTATTTGCCTACATGTATGTCTGTGTGAGAGTGCAACTGGAGTTATCCGAGAGTTGCGAGCCATGTGGGTGCTGGGAATTGAACCCAGGTTCTCTGGAAGAGTAGCCAGTGCTCAGCTGCTAAACAATCTTTCCAGCCCTAAAAATTTTTTTTTTTGTGTGTTTGTGTACGAATGTTTCGCACCACATGCATGCCTGGTACCTGAGCATCAAGTCCTCAAACTGGAGTTACAGAGAGTTGTGAGCCACCATGTGGGAGCTGGGAATCAAAGCCAGGTTCTCTGGAAGAATACTAAGTGCTCTTAACTGCTGAGCCATTTCTTCAGCCCTTTCCATTTGTTTTTTTAATACAAGGTCCCATGTACCTCAGGCTGGCTTTGCATTCCCTATGCAGCAGGGGCTAACCTCAGACTCTTCCCTTTACCTCCCAAGTACTGGAATGACAGGCATGCACACCACACTTGGGGAAACAGAACAGGAGACACATACTAACACACAACTGTGAGACAGAATAAGGAAGGAGACAAGACAGACTCCATGCTGCTCCTCTGGTTAAGAACCAAAAGGCTGCCTTCCCTTCCCAGTTTTGTGACATCTCTATGTGACCACCCAAAGCCAGATGGCCTTAAGAATGCCAGTTCTTCAGTACCAGTCCCTCTTCATTACTCTGTACTTCCCTCATACACTGGACCCACTGGGCTCCCAGCAGACGAGAGGGAGGCAGGCTGGCCTTTTACTCACATTAGGATGCCCTCATTTCCACATTCCCTAATTCTGGAGGTAATCTGCACACTGGAATGTGGGAATTAAGTGGGCTCAAATAATTCTTTAAATACTCATCATGCAGCAGGCAGGCCCATTTGCTTCCCAGTACCTACACAGGGTAGCTCACAACCACCTATACTATTGCTCTAGGGAATCGAACACTCTCATCTGGTCCTAGTGGGCACCTGCACTCACATACATACAAACCTACAGACAGCCGGGCGGTGGTGGCGCACGCCTTTAATCCCAGCACTCGGGAGGCAGAGCCAGGCGGATCTCTGTGAGTTCGAGGCCAGCCTGGGCTACCAAGTGAGCTCCAGGAAAGGCGCAAAGCTATACAGAGAAACCCTGTCTCGAAAAACCAAAAAAAAAAAAAAAACCTACAGACAAACGGACATACCCAAAATTAAAAATGAAACAAACATGGGCTGGAAAGACTGCTCAGCAATTAGCACTGGCGGCTGCTCTTCTAAAGGACTCATGTTTGATTCCCAGTACCCATATGGTGGCTTGCAACCAACTCTAATTCCAGTTAGAAGAATCAACCACCTCCACAGGCACTAGGTATGAATACATACACACACACACACACATACATACATACATAATAGACAAAATACTCCTTTGCATAAAACAATTTAATTTAAAAAATAAAAATAAACTTTTGAAAAAGGGAAAATATGGAGAAATGGTTAGTCCAAAAGGTACTTGCTGGGTAAGCAGCAAGACCTGAGTTAGGACCCCCAGTACCCAGGTAAAAAGCTGGCACAGCAGCCCACACTTTATCCATCCCAAGGGCTAGAAAGGTGCAAGCAAAGATCGCAATGGCCAGTCTGGCCAACTGGTGAGCCCCGAATTCAGGGTGACACCCTCTCCCCTAAAAAAGCAGCTAATGTGGTGGTGGTTCACACCTGTCATCTCAGCACTTGGGTGGGCAAGAGAGGAGGATGACTATGAGTTCCGGGCCAGCATGGGACAGATGCAGTGTGAGGTCCGTCTGAAACCATGAAGTGACAGGGAGACACTCCAACCAAAAAAAAAAAAAAAAAAAAAAAAAAAAAAAAAAAAAAAAAAAAAAAAAAAAAGGAAAAAAAAAAAAAAAAAAAAAAAAAAAACCACGAGTTCAAAAGGAGCTTCAAAGCCAAAACTTAGGCTTTAGCATGGGGGGACTGGTACATCAGAGATCACTGGAGCTGGGCAAGAGGTGGGAACCCAGAAACCTGCTTCATCCACAGAGAATTTTCCTCAGGGCCTGTAGAGCAAAGACTGGCTTCCACCTTAAACGCTGGCCATCTTAAAGTGGAGGCAGGAGAATCAGTTCAAAGCCAGCTTCAGCTACATAGAGTTCTAGGCCAGCCTGGGCTATGCCAGACTTACAACAAAAAACAAACCCCATAAACCTACAAAAGTTAAGTATGTCACCATTTAAATGGCAGTCCCTTTAATATTTTAAGTTCTAGGTTGACAACTATATTGAGGCTCTAGATTTTCCTGGCATATCACTGGCAGGATATCTCAGTTGAAATGGCAGAAAACACATGCTATCAGCTGTCATCAAAGATTTTGGGAACCAGGCTCCCGTGCAAAACACAGAACCAGTCACTGTACAAGGGAATATGAAGTAAGCTGCAAAACGAGCAGTGTGAAAAAGCAATGCCCAACACAAGAATGGTGAGGGGTACCGACCAAGGAAAAAAGAAGATAAGCAGGCGGGAATGTGGCTGGGTCAGACGGCAATGCCTTACGGTGGAAACCGTGGGGAAGATACTTCTGCAAGGGGGAAGGCACCAGAATCCACACGACCTGTCCCTCCCATTCGGCCCTGAGGGGGTCCAGCTGATCAACGCTGGAAACCGTGGCCAGGAAACTGCAATGCCCGGGATACTGCAACTTGTCCTGCCCTCTACCAACCCTAGATGCTCGGTCTTCCCGCAGAGGTGGGCTCCCCAAGTGGTCCCCTACTTTAGAGAAAATAGGGGCGGATCGCTGTTAGGCGAAAGACCTCGCGCCCTCGCCGACATCCGAGGATACCCTCACCATAGACACGCTCACGATCACAGCCCCTACCTTCCTCGCTCACGTCGTCCACGAAATCCTCGGGGTCGCTGAAGGAGGGCTCATCGGCCCCTCCGTTCTCCAGGGCCCGGGGCTCTGCCTCCGCCGCGCTGCCATCGGACCCACCCTCCTCCTCCGCTCCTCCGGCAGAGTGCTCCCGGGCCTGCTCGCCCGCGGCCTCCGCCTTCCCGGGAGCGGAGGGCTCCTGCGCCGAGGACCGTTCCGCCGGCTGCGGCGACACGGCCGGACTCGTCGCCGTTTCCTCTTCGGGCTGGGCCGCCGGCTTGGCCCTCACCTCGGGCTCCGGTCCGGCCTCAGAGTCTTCTTCGGCGTCTTCCGTCCGCCCCACTTCGGACCCTCCAGACCCTACCGCCTTATCCGCCGGCGGAGACTCGGAGGCCGGCTGCTGCCTCGCGGGCTCAGCCCGCTCCTCGGCCGCCTCGGGCGCCGCCACGTTCTCAGCGTCCTGCATGGGCCCGCGCTGCTCCTCACCCGGCTCGGCCGCCCTGCTTCCGACTCCCAGGAAGCCCCGCGCGCCGCTAGAGCGGAGCCACGTGCGTGCAGCGAATAGGCCGTACCAATATGCATCTCAGGGGGGAGACACCCACGCCCTCGTTCCTCACGACCACGCCAAGGAAACTCAGACACGCATAAAAAGCATCTAGAAACAACCATATATCGTTTTTCAAGACAAGACGGGTCATTTATAGCCCCAAAGGATTTTGGGTAGCAAAAATAAACTCACTGCTTTATGTGGCTCCCCCATCTTTGGTTAAGAAATAGTTGCGTCCAAGATGGCAGACGTCCCTATGCCTCTCCCGGCGGGCGCTAGCGGGAAGGACTGAACTATCTGGGGAGCACCAGGTAGGTTCTCAAATGCTTTGAACACGTGGAACTGTGTGGAGACAAAATATGTGACTAGAGAACCATGCCAAGAAAGCGGAAACTTCCACACAGGATGCTTTTCAAGCTTTGCTTTTAACCAGACAGACTGCTGCCTGGCAGACGAGACTGGGTCCTCCCCCCGCTAAGGGCTGCGCTTTAGACCCGTCCACTGACGGGGCCGAAGAACGGAGGGGTCCAGAACTGCACGAGGAGTTCGCCGCCAACCAGAAGCGGCCAACACACAGGAAACCGCCTGCCCCGCACAGTGCAGAGTCGGGTCGCGAGTGGTGCCCGTCCCCTCGTGCGGACCCCCGGGCGGACGGTCACTGTGGGCCAGTCCGCCGGAGACAGCCTCCTGCCCACGCGGGAGAAGGCGGTCACGTGGGTCAGCGTGGGGTGGGCGGGGCGGAGCCCGCTCCGGGTGACCAGGGAGGCTGCAGGAATGGACGCTGGGAAAGATAGTCCGCTCCTGTCTGTCTTGCTTGTCAGAAGTTTTGCTAACTCCCACCGAGAGCTGTTCCTTATGGGATGTTTCGACATTCTTAAAAAGGACCAGTAGAGGGAACTAAGAGCTTAAGAGCACTTTTTCAGAGGACCAAGTTTGGCTCCCAGCACCCACATGGTGGCTTACAGCCCATCTCTAACTCGAAAATTTTTATGTGTGTGAGTGTTCTGCTTGCATGTGTATCTGTGCAGCACGTGTGTGCCTGATGCCCTCGGAGGTCAGAAGAGAACATGTTATCACCCGGAATGGGAGTTACAGACAGTTGTGAGCTGCCATAAGGGTGGGAATGGAATCCAGGTCCTCAGTAAGGGCAGGAAGTGCTCTTAACAGTTGAGCCATCTCTCCAGCCCCACCCAGCTCACTCCCCAGGGGAAAAAAGTTAATAAAAAAAGCTTTTTTATTTTTATTTATTTATTTTTTTTTTTTTTTAGGACCACTTAGTTGACCATGAAATCATAGACTTGGAATCCGAGCACTGGAGTGACTGAGCCAGAAAGATGAGTTCATGCTAGCCTGTGCTATATAAAGACTCCACAAATGAGACCGGTGACCAGGGGATGGTGGATGAGTTAGCAGTCTGCTGGAGTATTTTTGATCTACTCAGAAATGAGGAGCTACAGCCCAGTCAGATGGCTCAGCCGACTCTTGCTGTCCAACCTGATAAGTTGGGTTCCATCCTGGAAACCCATATTGTGGAGGGAGAGAAGTGACCCCGAGAGTTAGCCTCTGATTTGTTTGAGTATACACACAACTAAGTAAATGTATTTAATTAAAATAAAAACAAAACAAAAAACCAGCATGTCTTCCAGCACTGGCAGGCCCAGAATTTTGAGAGTCCAAAGCTTTAGCGTCTGAACTCAGAAACCAAATCTTGAGAAAGACTTATGGCTCCGGGTTCTAGAGGCCGGACACTTATGACTGTAGGTGCTTGGGATACAGGCTTTCTTCTCAGGGGTTTATTGCCTGGAGCCCCACACAAGCAGCTACTATAACCTTCCACTGAGTACTTTTATAGTTCTCAGGCCTTGACGGTTGAGACCCATGGATCCTGAGAGCTGGTAGCACCTCCGAACCCCCTCCCCTCTTTTTTTTTTTCTTTCCCAAGACATGGTTGTGTAGCCCTGTCTGTCCTGGAACTTGATCTATAGATCAGGCTGGCCTCAAACTCACAGAGGTTCACCTGCCTCTGCCTCCTGGTGCCGGGATTAAAGGCGTGTACCACCACCTCCTAATATCACTCCTCCCTCTCAGGCCTCAGGTAGGCCTCTGCTTGCGAGTCTCAGCCCTGCAAGCGTGCCCAGACCTCAGCCACAGATAGAGTGTAGCCCAAAACAAAATCATGACCTTATTCAAAAGATGTTTTTGCAATTTTTTTTTTTTTTTTTTTTTTTTTTTTTGGTAACTCAATTGCACAGTTCTCAAGTGTGAACTCTGGGTGACAGTTTCATAGGACAATGTCGAAAGGTTGAACACACCTCTTCTCAGAGCTTGGCAGCTCCTTGGAACTCTTCTTGTAATCAAGCCATGGCTCTTTGTTTTCAGCTCTTCAAAATCTTGTAACTTCTCCATGGCTTGTCCTCCCCAGCTCTGCTTCCAGACCCTGCTGCTCTTCCCCTGACAGTCTTAGCAAAAGGGTCGTTGAGACTGGCTGACATAGTGAGTTCCAGGAGCCAGGGCTACATCGAGAGACCCCCCCCAGTCTCGCTGGGCGGTGGTGGCGCACGCCTTTAATCCCAGCACTCAGTAGGCAGAGCCAGGCAAATCATTGTAAGTTCGAGTCCAGCCTGGTCTACAAAGTGAGATCCAGGACAGGCTCCAAAGTTATACAGAAAAACCCTATCTCACAAAAACAAAAATAAACAAACAAACAAAACAAAACAAAAAAGAGACCCCGGTCTCAAGAGGAAACAAAAGGGCTGGTGTTGCTGTTCAGTGCACAGCTATAGTCCCAGGGAAGCAGGGGGACAAGTCCCTCACTGGTCAGCTAGCATAGCTAAAAGGAGACGCTGTCTCAAAAAATAAGTTGAAGAGCAACAGAAAGACACCTGATGCCTGCCAGCCTGTCAGCTTCTAGCCTTCCCAGGCCAACACACACACACACACACACACACTCACACATGCACTCACACACACACACACACACTCACACACCACACACACTCACACATGCTCTCACACACACACTCACACACATACACACACACTCATACACACACCACACACACATGCACTCACACTCACACACCATACACATACACACACACACTAACACATACACGCACACTCATACACACACACCCCCCACACACATACACACACCACACACACACACACACACACTCATACACACACACCACACACACACTCACACACAGAGTAAATACACACACAAAAAGGAAAAACTTTTAAAGAACTGATAATTAAGGCTGGGCAGTGATGCATGCCTTTGATCCCCGCTCTCAAGAGACAGGCAGGCCAATCTCTGTGAATTCAAGAGAAACCCTATCTCAAAAAACCAACTCCCCCACAAAAAAATGTAATCAAGTACAGAGACAAGTCGTGCTCACCATCTTAGTGATTTTATTTTTAATTTGTGTGTGTGTGTGTGTGTGTGTGTGTGTGTGTGTGTATGTATGTGTATTTTGACTACATGTATGCATGTGAACCACATAAATGCTGTATCCTCAGGGACCAGAAGAGGGCAGCTCAGTTACATGGTTGTGAACGACCATGTCGTTATTAGGACTAGAACCTGGGTCCTCAGCAAGTGGTCTTAACCACTAAGCCAACTCTCTAGCACCCACCCCTGCATCTTTGTTATTTAAAGGCAAAAATAAACAATAAAAGAGGTGTTTATCATAAAGATCTATTATCGAAGTGTTGTAACAGTATTGTGATGAGAATAAACTGTCGCCCAAGTGGCCCTGGGACTGGTGAATCCCTCTGATCTGCCCCTGGTGGAGTCAGTAACTCCAGGGTGCAGAGCTGCTGCCTGGGAAATGGCAAAGCCTGGAGACAGCCTCTGTCACACAGCCACTGTGACTTATGACACTTTTTGTTTAAAAGTGGTTAAAATGGGGGCTGGAGAGGTGCTTTAGGGGTTAATAGCACTGTCTTCAAGATGTCCCAGTTCAATTCCCAGCAATGACATGGTGGCTCACAACCATCTATAGTGGGATCTGATGTCCTCTTCTGGTGTGCAGGTGCAGAGCACTCACACCTAGATTATAAATAAATAAGATTTAAAAACGTGATTAAAATGTCATCATGGGCTCTGTGGTGGTGGTGCACGCTTTTAATCCCAGCACTTGGGAGGCAGAGGCAGGTGGATCTCTGAGAGTTCAAGGCCAGCCTGGTCTACAGAGTGAGTTCCAGGACAACCAGAACTGTCATAAAGAGAATTTTTTTTGTCTGAAATTTTAAAAAAGTTTATAACTAGTGTAAGAAAAACTATATACAATAAGTACAATAACTACATACAATATATACAGGCAATAAATACATCAACAATGTCTAGTCCATTTGCATTTGACAAATTTAGGGAAAATATGCCATTATTTATCCTATCTTTGTGAATCCAAAAGATTATAATTCACCTTCTATCCTAATTTGCATTACCAACCGAAAACTATCTTTTGATATCTTTCAAACTTATACACTTTACACCTCCATAAAGAGAAATTTTGTTTCAAGGGGAAAAAAAAAAAGGTCGTCATGGTTCAGTGGTAGAGCACCTGCCTAGAATCCCCCAGTGAGGGGCTGGGGTGTGGCTCAGTGGTAGAGCACCTGCCTAGAATCCCCCAGTGAGGGGCTGGGGTGTGGCTCAGTGGTAGAATATCTTTCTAGAATCCCCAGTGAGGGGCTGGGGTGTGACTCAGTGGTAGATCACCTGCCTAGAATCCCCCAGTGAGGGTGTGTCTCAGTGGTAGATCACCTGCCTAGAATCCCCCAGTGAGGGGTGTGTCTCAGTGGTAGAATATCTTTCTAGAATCCCCAGGGAGAGGCTGGGGTCATACCTTAGTCTCAGTGAGGGATTGTCTATCTTTGGTTGGCCTAAAAATTAATTGATGTAGGAAGGCCTTGTCCACTGTAGAGCACCATTCCCTAGGTAGGGGTCCCGAACTGTGGAGAAATCCAGTGAAGCACCAACAAACAAAGCAGCATGCATTCATTCTTTTAACTTCTCCTGACTGGGGGTGTGGTAAGAATAGCTGTTTAAAGTTTCTGTTCTTTTGACTTCCCTGCTATCATGGGCTGGAATCTGGAGCTGGGAGCTAACCCCAACACTTTCTTTCCTAAGTTGCTGTGATGGTTCAGATGAGGTGGGCCCCAATAGGCTCAAATGTTTAAATACTCGGTCCCCAGTTGGTGGAACTATTTAGGAAGGTTTAGGAGGTGTGGCCTTCTTGCAGGAGATGTACCACCACTGGGGATGAGCTTTGAGGTTAGTTCTTTCTGCCTCATGCTTGTGGATCAAGACGTCAGCGCTCACTACCGCTCCAGTGCGGTGCCTCCTGTCTACTGCCATGTGCCCCAACCGTGATGTCATAGATCCTAACCCTTTAAAATGGTAAGCCACAGATAAACTTTCTTCTGAAACTTGCCTTGGTCATGGTGTCTCATCACAGCAATAAGACAATAACTAAGACAGTTGCTTTTTGTCACGGCATTTTTTTTTTTTTTGAGGAACAAAATTTAAACGAAAACATACCAATTGCTTTGTTTTTGTTTGTTTTGTTTTCTTTTTCTTTTTTCCTTTTTTGAATTTTTCAAGATAGGGTTTCTCTGTATAGCTTTGCACCTTTCCTGGAACTCACTCTGTAGCACAGGCTGGCCTTGAACTCCACAGAGATCCTCCTGGCTCTGCCTCCCAAGTGCTGGGATTAAAGGCGTGCGCCGCCGCCGCCGCCGCCGCCGCCGCCACCACCCAGCTACCAATTTTTAAAAATATCTTACTTGAATTTTCTCTTTACCTTCATGGGTGTTTCACGTGCATCTTTATCTGTGCACCATGTGTGTGCAATGACCACAGAGGCCAGAAGAGGGTGTCGGATCCCCTGGACCTGGAGTTCCAGACAGTTGTGAGTCATCATATAGGTCCTGGGAATCAAACTCCGACCCTCTTGGAAGAGCAACAACCAGTGCTCTCGCTTGCTGAACCATCTCTTCAGCCCGACATACCAAAATGTATTCATCCAGTTCAGTCAGTGTTCACTGAGAGACAGATCTCTGAGTGTGGCTGATGTGGAAGATGGGAAAAAAAAAACAAAAACCCTCTCTACCCTCAGGGTTTATCGCTGAGTCTCTGAAACAAATTGACAGCTGGCCGTTGGCTGCATAAAAAGTAGGTAGATTTACCATATGTGTGTGCATGACCAAGCGGGCAGAGGGAAAACTGCAAACGACCAACGAGCTCCGGGAGCCCCTTCCAATGGAGAGGGGCCAATGCAGTCAGCCTGACTGAAGAGCCTTCAAGGATTGTGCCACAGAGGCGATATTGCCCAGCTGTGTGGCCGCCCCCTGGCTTCATTTCCAGAGAGTTCCCTAATCTTCATGGAGGCAATGGGGAGGCCTGAAGATCCTGTTGTCCTTTGGCGGGTAATGAAAAGTCACACAGACTTTCTTGTATTTCCTGTTTTTCGGGGGTGGGGAGCCCCACCTCCACCCAGGGACAGCCAACCTTGTTGTAGAAAGTTGGAGCCAGGAGAGAGAAGGAATGGTTCTCAATTAAGATTTCAGCTCAGGCTGTACCTTTCAGTGTATTGGTGCTTCCTGACTCTCAGCCGACAGATGTCC